GTTTGACCAAGGGGTGATTATTTTCTTTAGCGCCTCTCTCTATCCGTAGTGTGGCCCACTGCAAAGAAAGAACCACTTTTTTCATTCACAAATCAAACATTTACAAAGATGTCATAACATTGAACTGTTGTTTAGCGGGAGTCTGAAACTCATTGTTGTGGACCATTAAGAAAAGTGAGCCAAGATTCCATGCAAGTTAGCAGCCAGCTGCCACTAGAAGCAGACTGTTGGAAAGTCTAACTTTCTAATTGTATACATCCAAGAAACTCAATCGGCAGAGCAAAGCCGGTTCTTAATAATGGATTACAGACAAAACTGCAAACTTCTGAGTTCTCTTCCAGTTATCCTTCTATTCTGAGTGTGGTGTTTGAGGTGTAAACTGTCAGGTGTATGACTTCAATAAAGAAACAAGAATCTGTTTTTATACAGTTTGAGCTCATCCCAAAGCGGTCAAAGCCAGGCGTATCTGTGACCACTGCCTTTTTGCACACATCTCCTTGTTTAGTATGTAGAACTTTGTTTGCACTCTGCATGCTGAGACTAAACCAGCAGGTTGGGCTCAGAGTGCAGGAAAAGGACATCGTGTTCTAGCTGGAAAAGAGGCAGGAAAGATCAGGAGGTAAAACTCATTTTGCTTGCCGGCAGTCTCAAGCTGCATTCATACCTCAGCATGAGATAACTCCCAAGGTCTGTCTGCATCAATCAATGTTTGAGGAATGCACTGACAGAATACAAAAAAACACTGGAATGAGCCCAGGGGCGCCGGCACAAAACTTTGAAAAATGTTAATTGATACAGTGGAGGTGCATACCCCGTCCCTATGGCTTTTTTAACATTAACTGAAGGCCCAGTATATTTTATCTTGGGAAGTAGAGACCAATGTTTTGTAAGACAATGTTAAAAGCCTTCTAAAAGTCAGGCTATATTAAGGCTAAGGAGCATTTAGCCCACAGCAGTTATACGGCTCTATGACACACAATTCTATCCTATCTAGAATTCACTGCTCTGTATTTTGTTTTGTTTTTAAATGAAAGATCCTTAAATTGTGCCGTGACAAGATGCATTATAGAGTGAGTCATTGTATCGAAATGCATCTACAGTGGAAAGCACGGATTCTTTGGATGAACAGAGGAGGAGCAAAGCAAGCTGCTCCCTTTTAGTAAGAGTACAGGAATTAAATAAAGCTGGTCCATCAAGCTAGCATGGAGCTCCAGGGCTGCATGTTATAAAGGATGTTTATGACTTGTGTTTTGACTTGGGTGTTACAGTTGTTGGTTAATCTTTAACCATAGTGTAACAAAAGTAATAAGAGGGATGTAAACTCTCTTGACCAAGGAATTGCAAAAAGGTCAAAGCCCCTGTAGTTCTCGTTTTGAACAGATTCCACCTGCAGATGTCTTTGATGTCTAGTTTTGACCAAGACAACAGCTTAATTCTAAATGTGACATATACAGGGCGCCGATGGCATATTTGTTAGTGTGTGCGACCCGTGTATGGCCCAGGTTAAAAATCCAACCTGTGGCTCCTTTACTGCATGTCATTCCCTACGCTCTCCCGCTGATTTGACTCTTATCTTATGTCCTATTTCTCCAATAAAAAAAAGGCACAAACAGCCCAGAAATGATTTTTTTAAACAAAGTGAAATCTACAAATAGTAAACACCACAAGACACAATCACACTTTATATAGTTCGCTCAGCTGCATTTGTCGTTTGACCTTTTCTCTAAATCTAATGGTCGCTACTGGAATCATGAGCCAGGAACATCTCTCACGTCTCCCACTGGTCCATTTATTTCTGGCACAAGATTGACTCTCAAAGGAACAAGCTAGAAAGTGATGACAGCTTTACTAGTGAAGCTACACCAGAGATAGCAGCATGAGAGAAACTGGTCACTGCATGCATCTACTAGTATAGTCTTACAGGGAGTGATCATTAAATCATACTGACTTCTTGAACAAGCCTCATTTGCAATGAACGTATCAATGCAATTCAAGTCCTTTCTAAAAAATGAATATGAGCGTAGTAGTATAATCCCAGGCTGCTGAAACCCTGTCACATATAACAGTTACTGACAAGGTCTGTACCACTGTTTTCTCCTGTTACATCACCGGGTAGAAATGGCTCTGTGGCTGTGATGTTAATCTGTATCAGTCTGTGAACACAATGACCACTGGTTGGACACAACAAGCATGAAGCCTGCACCTGGTCAGTTCACTCTAAGAACTGTACATGGAGACAGCAGAATTCTACTATCAATAAATGCATGTGTTCTTCAACAAATGAAAACGGCTTATGTTGACTTAAAAGGTGGGAAGGGCACAGTCGGAGTAATGTCAACCTTGAATAACAGAGACACAAACTTTAACTGACTATAGTTTGTTGAGTAACAGGATGTTTGGCAGGGGCAGAAGACACTAGGTACTTATTTATTGAACTACAAATTGTGCAAGGATGGTAATAAACTTTCACAAACATTTTACATGGCTTTACCAAATTTCCCTCTGGGGTATTTCTGATTCATATTGAAGTTTTTCCTACTCCACTCAGCTTTTACCACAAAAAAACCCCCCAAAAACATCAACATATTATCGACGCCTTAAAATAAAGTTACATTTGTTATGTGCAAATTATTTAAATAAACACAAAATGCTGAGACACAACGCGGCAACCTTACCTCAAAGATCTTTAACAAGGTTTTCATGTAAAGACGTCGGATGCCAAAGGACACTCCAAAGATGGCAGGCACGATGATGAAGACCAGCAGCAGGGTGAACCACACAGTGAAGGAGATACCCAGCAGGATGCATATCAAGTTGTCAAAAGGGTTGAAGAAGAGCTCCATCTTGAAGTCAGCAGGGCAACTAAATCTATCGAAATGTTGAAAAGATGGAAGAGGAGGTTCAGCCCTCCGCCGCCGCCTGGCCCCAAGTGGCCTTTATCTTTTGTCAGAAAAAGGCCCTCATCAAGATGACTATGGGATGGAACTTCTCCTCACACTGGATAGAGAATCAATAAACGTACAAGTAAGCATCTTGATGTTGCCGACTTGGGAAATATCCATGAATTTCATTATTTTCGCCACCAAGTGTCTCTCTGAAATCCAGGTTGAATCCTATTCCAGGAAAAGTAAGGTTATGTCTTGAAATAAACTGTGATGATTATAATGGCAGGTCCTTGCTGCAGATGTCCTTTGTGCTGTTCGAGCAAAGCCTCCCGCCGGTGAAGAGATGTAAACAATGAAACAAAAACAAAGTGGGCACAGCAGGTGGTTTCCCACGTCTGGGGGGGGGGGAGGTCCAGGGGGGCTGCAGCTCTGTGTAACACGGCCCTGTTAAGACAAACAAACAAAACAAACGATCAGTCTCATAACACGTCCTCCATGACTTGAGCACATCAATTCAATAATGCAAGACCGGAAAAGTGTCTTCAGATCACCGCTGTGCAAAGTAGGTGCTACTCTGAAAAGAAACGCATGCTAATAATCCAGGGGAAATGTTGATAGATGTATCCTGTATTCTATCTTCAGTGCTTAGCCGAATGGGTTTTCATGAAAACACTTGTGTTACCAGTGCAAAGATAAGAGAGGGGCCCTCTGTCCTCATCCCTTCTGATGATGCAGCAGCAGCTCCATCACACAGGGTTAGCTAGCTTCATGGTTACCATCAACAGGACACAGCCAGCACACTAATTGAAGGCTTCTTTTTTTTTTGGCAAATGACGGTACTACAGTACGATAAAAGCTAGCAGTAGGTCGTGAGACTGAAGTCGCTGGTACTCACGCAGACGATAAAAGTGTAAAGTTAGCTTTTTGGCCTCCGAGCTAACACCTCGTTCAGCTTAGCTTTGTGCTCAGCCCCGGTGCTCGTGAAATGCTGAGACAATCTTGTTTCCTTATAAGACTGGCTTACAACCACGAGTATGATTCTTCCATGTGTTTCTCTTTTTTAACAAACCGTGAGCACATATGTAGCTAAAAAAAACCAAAAAAAAAAAACAACCACCGACCTTCAGTCACGTTGTGTCCAGCGCCGGTACAGCAGGGTCTCACTCGGGTCTTTTGTCTGGCGGACTACAGTCACACTCCGCCCGCCGGACAACATGGACAGAAGACGAGCTGCGCGATGCTGCTGCTGGCTACGTGTAACAACCAGCCCCCCCCCTTCCCGTCGACTGGACTGTTACTATTAAACACGCTCAAGTCTACACCGACACCTGGTGGCCATACGCAGGTACAGCACTGAGAATTAACAAGAGTGTTACCACACGGGGCGCTGTAGAGCCATGTTCTGATAACATGTGCACAACAGACCAAGAGAAAGCAATCATAAAGCTGCAATACATTGTGCTGGTTAAAACAGCGAATACATTCATTTTTAAAGCAAGACTGACAAGGCTAAGGCAGAGAAATAATATTGGCAAGGGCCTGTGCAACCTTAACCAATTAAATAATAATAATAATTTATACTTTATTGATCCCGCGAGGGGAAATTCGTTTTTTACACTCTTGCTACAGAAACATAGGCCGAAATACACACACATGCACAAACAGGATCCTATGGACATGTATTAATGGAGAGGTCTCAGAGTGAGGGGGGATGTCCACAGTGGGCGCTCCTGAGCTGGTGGAGGGGGGGGGGGGTTAGGTGCCTTGCTCAAGGGCACCTCGGCAGTGCTCAGGAGGTAGACTGGCACCTCTCCAGCTACCAGGCCAATTTCTGGACTTGGTCCGTGCCGGGACTTGAACCGGAGGCGACCCTCCGATTCCCAACCCAAGTCCCTACAGACTGAGCTACGGCCGCTTCAGTCCATGTAGTCCAAACCCTTTAAACAGAAAAGCCGAAGGTGTTTGACCTCCACTGTACTTTTGTTGGGCAGAAATCTCTTATAACAAACATAACCAAATAAAATAATTGCACCTGCATAGAAACCCAGGTGGGCAATACGCTTTTCTTTCCCACTTAGTAAACCATCAATTTAAAGACACACAACATGGCCCTGCTACAATAACAAAATGTTTTTTTATTCACACATATACATCCATCTACAGTTTTTTCAAGTTATTTAAGATATAGAGAAGGAAAAATAACAGAAGTTTGGCACACAATTCAACCTTTTAACCCCTTAGTGTGTATGCCTTTTCACATCAATTGATATTTATATATAGTGTATTTCTATATGCAATTTAAGCCACTCTGACAACAAAAAAGCAATGGCTTCAAATCTGTATTTGGTATATGGTTCAAGAGTTAAAGTCCATAGCAATAGTAAACATCTTGTCAACTTTACAACACCACCACAAGTTCATCCACTTATCAATCTCCATGAGCATCAAGCACTGCTCTGCAGTAGAGCCTCAAAGTCTGGGGAGCAAACCATTTTGTGTTTGATATTCCCTAATACAGTCAAATCGCCTGTTCGTTCCTCAGTACCGATAGAGACCAGCTCCTGAGAAAGTAAAGAAAAGCATATCAGAAATGTTGGTAATTCTGATTATATTGTAAAAGTGAAAGAAAAAAAGGAAGCTTGAGCGAAAAAGAGTGGTGCGAGTGACATATTCAATTTAGAGACTGACAGATAATTATCCGTTAATAATCTTTAATCATACCTGAAGGAAAGCGCATGATGTTCCGAGAGACACATCAAGGGTCACTTGTCCCAGGATGAGCTGTACCCGTCCAGACCTCCGCACCAGCATTTTTCCTACCAGACCCTCACGCAGGTCTTTAAGATTGCAGATGTTTTCTTCCACCTCCTCATCCTGTTTAAAAATAAAAAATAAAAATCTTAACACACATTAGCTCGTTACCATCATGTACATTTAACCGGAGGACAACAACTTGTGTTCTACCTGAGTTTCTGTTTTGAGAAGCATAGACTGTCCGTCCTCAGACTGCACCTCTGTTTTAACTGGCCTGTGCTCTTTGGTGGGGGGCTGACCGGGCAGCGAGTCGGGCAGCTGCATGAAAAACAGCTCGTCCCCTTTGCTCAGACTCCACCTGTGCAGCAGGTCAGGTAAAACTTCAGGTTCAGGGAGAGGAGGAGGCCTGAACGCTGCCTCCGTCTTCTTTATATCAGCTTCCACTGGCTCCTGTTTCACTGAGGAGAGGAAGAGGAGTATTTTGAGAGAGAAGAACATATTTTCACAAACTGTCAGTAATATTGGAAACACAAGCTGCTGACCTGGAAACTGTTCTGTTCTGAAGAAAACATCAACCAATAAAAAGAAGACGAAACACATGAAGTCATAAATTACCTTCAAATGCAGATTCCATTGGTTCAGCATCTTCATCTACCTTCTCAATTTTTACAGGCGCCGGACTAAACTCCTCCTTAAATCCCCATCCTGACACAGCAAGAGGGAGCTGGACCGGGCAGCGGCTCTGCTCACTCCTCAGGAAGGGATCGTCTATAAACTGAAAAAAAAAAAAGCAGCAGGGATGGTTAATACATGAACATTTTTAATTCCAAGGTAGCTGTACAGGACCTTCCTTTTGTGATGATTTGATGTGGCCCATTTAGTCAAAAGCTGTTCACCTGGTGCCGGGAAGATCTAAATCTGACTCACATGGGCATTTGTCTTGAAAGCAAGTAAAAGACAGAAACACCTTTGAAATACTGTTTTCTTTCTTTTTAAACTCTGCTGCTTGCAGGATGCATGGCGATGAGGTTACTGCTCTACTTGTTGTTGTTGTGTGTTTTTTTTTAAATTATTATTTGATATGACGATACTTTACATTCGTAGTAGAATGGTTCATACAGCTTCTCAGTATTTGTTGAACAAACCTTAGTTATTAATATTCAGCCGTAACAGTATGTCTTTATAATTATAAGCTAACAACGACTTAATATGTAATATCATAGTTGTTTACTGTAGAGTCTTCAATGGACTGTACACAGCCATGTTTCTCAATGTGTTTCAAAATTGTATCATTTAGAATATTATTCTTAAGCAGGATTCACATATGCACTTCTGCATTTCAGGAGGACTACCCCTGAAATGCCCCTGACCTGGCTGTTCACATATGCACCTCAGAGAGGGAGATTATCCCTGTCAGAAGGGGGGGGGGTCTCCTGAAGCTAGACATGATGTAAAAAATGACACAGATGTAGTGGACGAAGCCTTTATATACTGCTATAATGAGAATATTTGCCTTCATATCTATGAATAGTTCAACTTAATAACACTATCAACAAAAGAGTGGAACTGTAAACATAATGCACCTGCTTAATTAGGTGCCTGGAGATCGTAGCGGTTGCGTGCTTACAGTCTATGCTCCGTGCACCGGTCAAAGGACATAAACGTCACCACCCCCTCCCATTGGCTGGAGGTGAATTCGCGAAATATATCCTGCTGTGATCTCACATCAGCTCACTCGCACAGAAAAAAATACAAGGGGGCTGGCAGAAGAAACTCCAGATAAAGTCTGACTAAAAAATGTGGCTGTTTGTGTTCACACATACATCTCCTCCTGGAAATATCAGGAGTTTTCTGTAAAGTTTGAAAGCCTCTTTAAGAGGAAAAAGATCAATTCAGTTTCTGCTTGATTAACGTTGTGTTGACTGTGGTGTATACCTGTCCAATGCTATTTTTGTGTTCTTAAGAAACTGCAAAGTATTCTGAAAAAAGAAAAAAACTCCTCCTATTTCTTTACTAACTAAAGCACTGCTCAATGTGTCAAAGAAATACAAACATGTTTTTCTGCTCTACATGCCCTTTATTGTTTTGTAAATCTTTTACAAGCATAAAGAATAACTACATATAATTAAACAAATCTTCATCTAGTTTACTATTTTTTGTAGTCATACAGAGGCATCACTATTTAACTGACACTCTTTAAAACCCCTTTAAAAAAGACGACTGATAACCAAGAGACTTACATTATCTCGCTCCAGACCACGCAGAATCTCTTTGGTCTCCTCCTCAGTCTCTCTCTTCTCCTTTTTAATATTAATGATGGGTGAGGGTCCCACAGTGGGAGCATCTCTCTCACCATCATAACCACCTGTGAGTGACACAGGAGAATCACTTATCAGTTATCAACGTGTGATCAGCCAGAAGTACAGAAGGAGCTGATATCAAAGTGAACTTTTACCTCTCTTTTTCAACATCATCTCTGCAGGCCCCTGTTCAAAAATAGAGTGGGACTGGATCACCTCAGGGCGACCTCTGCCCCTGCCTCTGTCCCTGGGACCTCTACCGCGACCTTCATCCCTCCTCTCTCTCCTCTGTCCACCTTCAAGTTTTGTGCTGAAATGACAGAGTTCAAAGTCAACATTCAAAACAGGGAAATACATTTCCTTTGACACATTTTCATTCTGTTAACATCGATTTAAAACTTACTCTTCTTTGACTTTTCGGCCAATAATGTTGGGTGCGAAAGTTTTCTAAAGATATTAAAGGACAAAAACAAATTCAGTTAAGTACAACAGAGGTTACAAAATCTGACAATAATTAAACTTTGTAATATTGGAGTGATGTGATAAATCCATTATAAAATCCTTTCCAAAACAATGACCTTTTTCTTTCACTCTACAGTCACATGCCGTATATTACCTTCTTCACTCCGCCAAGGGTGAGGTCTCTGGATTTCATTGCGGGAAGACGGCCGGGAGTCATGGCTCCGCCTGGTCGTCGGCCCATCAGAAGCCCCGCACTGCTTCCTCCAGGGGTTGGCACACGTTGACCACTGGGGTCATTTGAACCTGAATCTGCCATCCCCAACTGGAAAAACATCACAACGTCATAAAGACCTTGTGTAGGAATAGTAATGCTGGTACTCTTCTTTGTTAAGATGACTTCTAACTGAAGTGCTTTATGACCACAGCGATAGCATACATGTAAAAAATTAATTTCTAATGTCATTAAAAAATATACTTTGTTAATATAAATCACTAACTTTAACTGATTATTGTTCAATGTATAGCACTTATCTATTAATTATAAAGTCAGCCAGTACTATTGATTGATGATACACGTTTCATCTTACTCACATTATACACACTATTCTTACAGAAGCAGCCCACACACTTTGCAAACAGCCGACCACTAAATACTGCAGCTCTATTGGCTGCTTAAACACTGCATACTCAACAGCTCTCGAATAGATCTGTATATGACAAAGTTGACGTGCTTATTTAGTCTTTTTTATGTATTTTCTGAGCAGACAAGTCGTTGTTAACATCAACTGATAGTTGTCAACAAATGCTTCTCTGCAAAGAATAATAGAGTTTGTTTTTTTTAAACAGCTCAGCCTTCATGAGGTCGATGATTTTCATTCTCATCCGTTAACACGAGACACATCTTTATGTAAATGGGATTTTTGTGCAATACAGAGAAGTGTAGTCCAGTATCAGTGAGAATATCTGCACTCGTCAAGGGGTTTTTATAGGTGACGCACATGATGTTGTAACATCATGTAAACAAAGCAGATCACCTTAACCCGTCTGATTTTTTAAATACTATACATTCCTTCTAAGAAAAGAAGCTCATTGTTCATTTCCAGGAATGAAGACATCTTATATTTCATTGTTTAATGGGCCTCTGGTCTTGCACCACAGAAAAGCTACTAACCTACGTCAGTGGAATATACACCTGGCAGACATTTTCTGATTTACAACACGAAAGATTACCTTTAACTTATTAGTGCTCCAATACCTTGACCGTGACTCGTGACATTTGACCAATGATCCTTGACAATATTTAAAAAAAATCAGCAACACGTGGCTAAATCATAACACGAGTACATGGATACAAAACGAGTGCTCTGAACATGAACAACTTTTCACATACTGGGCACATACAGATACTCACTTCAAGATCGCTCTGGTTCCCTTATTATTTGATATGAATTCCAGACGTGTACGGGAAGACTCAATACAAACAGTTTAGGAAGAGTGCGGTTTCTGACTGCATGACGCACGCCGCCATGACACTTCCGCAGTGTCATCACCCGGTGTGTTCACGTGCGTCAAGCGTGCGCACTAAGACCCGCATATTCATCAACAATCGTTTGGATAATGCTGCTATAATTTACATTTCGATCATTTTCTTGTTTTATGGACTAAACATGTTTAACGGGTTCATAATAAATCAAAGGTGTGAACGAAGTATGAATAAAGACATTTGGACATTTTGTTCTTTTTTTGGTCTGTATGTACAAAAGTGAATTTTAATTTCCATAATTGTTGAGAATGGTCTAATGCACAAGATAATTTAGTTTAACTTTAGTTCCTGCATATACATATTCAAGGATGTGATTGAGGTCATGAAGGAGCGAAGCAGCTTATTTTTTTTTATCATATCAGTGTTTTATTATGTTTAATTCTTTACTTTAGAGGTCTAAGCGCCATTACTTGAGTTCAGGTTGCACTAGCAGTTCAATGATTAGCCAACTTTAGATGGGATGCATATTGTTTCATCCCACACAACTCTAGTCACAATTGAAAAAAAGTTAAAACACACATCCTGCCCTTTTTATGACGATAGGGGTCTTCAATAAATGTAAACATTTGAGTCAAATACTCTTTATGAGGCAGACAGGCAGAGACATTTACAAAGAAGTCAAATCAAACATTGCTTGAATTAACAGCTTAATATAAGACCAAATCAAAGCTGTAGGCCTATAACTCCATTAGATTTCCTATCTAATTTTATATTTCATCGTGATAGAAAAATGCTGATAGTTTTAGCGTTTTTGTATTGCCACAATAGTCATACAAATTTCACATAAAATGTAAATGTGAAATGTTGTTAAAGCTGCAAAATTTAAATGTTATACTAAGTCAGTAATAAGCTTATGAAACATTTTTATAAATTGACTGATGCAGATTCATATGAAGGCATTTGAATATGATGCATAAAACATCTATACATAAATAAATACATGCTGCTGCCTCAGGAACAAGAGAGAGAAATAAATCCCTGCTCCTGGCTGTTTCGGACTACTTTGTTGGCCCAGGCCGGACATCCTCTCCACCCTGATGGTGTCTGGTCTCGCTGATAACCGACTGAGCTTTGGGGTTGTCTCTTTGGGTCTCCACACAATGTTTGTAAAATGCTAATGTTCAGTCAGATGAAACACAAGCGGATAACGCCCTATGTAACACATTAGAAATAGTTTATGTAAATTGAGAAATATCCCCTTTTTAACAGACACAGCCAGCCCTCCTCTAACACGCAGACTATTCCCACCTCTGAAGCTGAGAGGGTTATTTGGATAGAGGAAGAGAGTCATCGCATGACTAATGATGGATGATTGCAATTTAATTACACTCTGAGGGTATCACTTATCTGTGGCTAGAGAGAAATGAAGCTTTTCAATACAGTTCACAGTCAGTGGAATTAAAGCAATACATCTTTGTCATTTTACAAATAGTATGTTTGTGAAAGGACTTTTGCTTTCACATTCGGGTTTATCCCTTTGTTATCTGTCTGTACTCTGTACTCTATTGTTTTGTCATCAGATTATAGGCCATAATCTGGGTGGGGTCTCTTAATCTCTAATGAAATCCTAAATGAAGTTGAACCCCCCCCTGAGGTTGAAACAGTAGGAAAAAAAACATCCCTTTAAAAAAAAGAATGCCAGTTGAAATCTGCTTACTCTAGACTAACACAGAGGCATCCCTCGCCTCGGGATTGGCTGAGAGGGGAGATGGCCCGTAGAGTTCAGTCCATATGGCATAACAGTTGGCACATGTATATTTTTTGAGGACTTGATGGTGCTCTATGGAAAACACTGGGGCATCAATCAGCATAATCTCTTTTGAATCCTCTGCAGCCAGTGGAGCGTGTAAAATAATGCTTCATTAATTTCCTCTCGTGTTCAAAGTGTCTCCATATCTGAGAGGTGAGAACGTGCAAAGTGTTCAGGCTCTATCAGAGTGTGTGGATTGTTGTGCCCTAAGGGAAGACTTACTGGCGTGTTGTGCTGTGTATGATTGACCGGCGAGAGCAGGATGCTGACAAGGTTGACTGAGTGTCTCACACTGGTCACACTCCACTAGGACAATTCATTTTTGGCCTTTTTTTTTTTTTTTAGGTTTTAATTCATCCTGTTTGGCTGTGTACATGAGTCAAGCAAACATCATCCTCAGAGCCCAGAGCGAAAATAAGAATGGGAGAGAGAGTGGGATGGGAGGGAGGGAGGGAGGGTGGGATGGAGATATAGAGGAGGGGAGGTGGAGGGGAGGAGGGTTAGAGTGTTTCTGTGAGAGAAACAGACGGAGAGAAGAAGAGAGAGAGGAGCCTGTGTGTTTGTTTCACCTCCTAATCAGTTTTCCTGGGAGATATATCATCAACAGCAGTACAGGAGGCAAGGAGAAAAGGAGAAAAGGGGAAGACGTTATTAGAATTCAACCCGTCTTACTCTTCTCCAATCAGCAATCTCAGCATCATTCAAGTAAGAAATGAATTCAAATGAAGTGACTTGAGATGATTTTAGAAGTAGATCTGTCGTTTTGAAGCTGAAGTTGAGGGTAACAGATGTGTTGTTAAATGGTGTTTCATTCAGTTTTATTCGTAAAAGGTCACATTAATGCACAAGCACAAGTTTTTCTTGCATGCTCTTCTGTTCATGTGTGATGCCATTTATTGCCAGTTGATTGCATGTGCTATATCCATCCAATTTCATGAATATGACTATGAGGACATTTCGTATGGCAGCATTGACTGTTCCATGTGATGTAATTGGTGCTTCTTTCCCTAATATTTCACGCTTGGTTTAATTGTGCAGCGTGTCAAACTGTGTTAGTCACACAACGTCTCAGCTTATTTATCAAACTTTGCACATTATTTCTAAGTGCAAAATGACCATTTGACTCGCTCTAGTTTAATAACTGTGCTGAGGAAAGCATGCTTTTTCTTCTTCCCTCATGCAGCTTTTTAAATGTGCTTTCAAGTATTCTCCTTGAAGGAGAAAACATGACTTTAAAGCGCTGAGTTGCTCTGTGTTCCCTTCTCCATATGCATGAAAGCAGCAGCTTCTTTCATGATGCTGTCTCAGGGAGAAAACAACATCTCTGTAGTGTGAGAATAGTACTAGAGCACTAGCACACTTCCAGATAAATGCTGATTTATACGGCAAGTCTCTGTTGTAATTATAAGTTCGACTCAGCTGCATGATTAGGAGAAACAAAGCCAGTTTTCCAGCAGATATAATTGGCTGATATTTCTCCTGCAGGATGATTTATAAATGAGGAAGATGGGATTGTGACAATGGTATGGAAACCTGCTCGTGAACTGTGCTCACATGTGTTCGATCAGGAAGTGGAGCACACACAGAAACATGGGGCTTTGATGATGTCCTGTGAGATTCCCCCCTTCTTGCCCCAGTTTCTATCTCTGAAAAGACACCGTGGTGGGAAATGAGAGCAGCAGCTGGAAAAAACAGACGCGTGGAAACACACGTGCCTGATGCAACAGACAATCTCTCCCTACTGGCCGCCGTGTGAACGAGCTAGCGCACAAATTTCACAGTTCACAGCCTTTAATGAGCTGCTGCAGCCTGTCCATCATACTGACTGGAGGATACCTTAACAGACCTCGGACTGAGACACTGACACTGCACCAGGCGTCTGTATAGGATCACACGGAGAAGAAAAAGAGGCTTGCAGTGATTGTTTGCTGGGTTATTTTTAGACACATCTGTGATTTAGCATATGCTCAGTTGTAGGGCAGTTTTAATAAAGGAAAAATGCAGTGTAATACAGAAAAAAAAAAAAACGTTTTTTGCTGGGCAAGTAAGCAAAACTGGAGGAGACAACTTTGAAACCATTTAGGTGGACACAAATTAGGAGCACAGTTCTGTAAATCTCAGGGATAAAGAAGACAACCACAGCGCACACACTGCAGAGACTCACCATCAGTTTATGGGAGGAGAGGTGACAGCTAATCAAACACAAACACCCTGTGACCATCACATTACCCCCAGCCCTGCACTCAAGGCTGTGTGCAGCCGCCTGGATCGAACCACTGATGGGCAACTAAGGAAATATGATCATACATCACCTGCAACTGATACCTACTTAAACCTCCTATTTCTTCCCAAACAACATAAAAGCCGCTCGAAGATTTCCCCTGAGTTGCAAGAAGCTCACTTTGCTCAGCGGTTTTTGAAAGGTTCAGACTCAAATGAGGCGCTGTAAGTGTTTGAGAAGTTACCTGTACTTGTTATTTAGTGCTGAGGGTGCAGCTGGCTTTTTTTGTTGTTGTTGTTGTTGTTGTTGACTCTATCCTTGAGAACTATACAGGAAATAAAGATAGAGGGTGGATGCAGACGTGTGGTTGCTGGGAGACTGCTGTAGGTGGATTATGAAATGCGCGGGGAATGCAGAGGCCAGTCACTCAGCTGGGAGCGTATTGAGTTGTGTAATGATGGGAAATGTCAGTTAAAGGCAATAAAAGGCGGAAAAGAGCAGGACGGTGAAAACAAACGCCCCAAATGAAAGGTTAATTGGATTCTTTCTGAAGTGTATTGCAGGGTGTTTCTGAACTCTCTTAGTGCTCACTTTGTAGCTCTTTGTGACACACTTTAATCCCTGCTACCATATGTTGCCCACACTACAGTCCCAGATTACACTCCAGTCTAACTGTAATGTTTTTATCTACTGTATCTGTTTAATGGCAGCCAAACCCAAAATGGATGCCCCACTCGCCATCCCCTGCAACATCCAGATCTGTGAGGTCACCTGTGATTCCTTCCGCATCATGTGGGATATGACACCCGAGGACACAGCCAGAGCCACGCACTTCTTCATCGACCTGAGTCGTAAAGAGAGCCGGGACCCCAACCGCTTTAAACACAGGGTCAGACGATGTCACACTACGTACAGACGTTCCTATAACCTTTCCATGGAGTTCTTTTTCTCACCTATGTGTCTCCTGCTGTGCTCTCTGCGTCCTTATTCAAGTACACATGTTCAAAATACGACCAGACAGCCTAAATGAGACGAGAAATTGTGTATTTTATATCAGTCTTGAAGGATTAATAGATTGTGGTGAGCTACTTCATGACATTCTGCTTGAGTCTGAACACAGAGTAAAAGCGGTTTTGCCCTCTCAGTCACATTCAATACAGGCGGAAAAGGAAAATGAGTCCAGTCAATGGCTTCAGGCCAGTGACTCATGTACATTGTTTCCTTTTAAAGGGGACAAATACTGACACATTCTTCTGCAGCAAAGAACACTTTTCATGTTAACAAATGTCATATATCACAGACATGAATAAGCAATGTGAAGAGTGTATCGTTTTCTTAAAGTCATTTCTAGCAGTAAGAGGAGTTGCTCTGTAGCGCATTTAGCCTAAAAGCTATACTTTACTGAGCTGAAATCTGCAGATTAACTGCATCTCTGGCATGAAAAGCATAGCTATTTTCATGTCATAAACTAGTGTTTACATAATCTGGTTTAGCCCCAAGACATGGTTAAAGGGACGACCACCACGTTGGACCTGCAGGCTAAAGGATCTTGACAATTTGATTTGACAGAATGCCATGAAATGTTGAAAAAACATTCATCGTATCCTGTAGGAAAAGATTATATGGTTTTAGTAATCCACTGAATTTAGCTCAAGCTACGATGAGTTTGACTCTTTTTATTTCTTCTTTGTAAGTTTTAATTATTCCAATAAAACCATAAACAAATGTAATATCAATGTTAGCATGCTTACATACTAAGGTAGTCATCATGGTAGAAAATTATAGCCCACCTGCTTCACATCAGCATGTTAGCTTCTCCACTGTTACCATGTAAGAAAAATGGTGTTAGCATAATCAAGCTAGCATGACTTATGGCAATAAAACATAAGGTAAAACATGATTTTACCTTGTCATCATATTCTAAGATTTTTTGCTATTTGAGGTCTAAATTTATCTCCAGTAGCTGAGGCCTTACATTTCTGATCTCCCTTTGCCTCAAATTCAAAGGACTGGCAGTAATTATGGTCTATCATTGCAGCTGACATTCAACTGCTTTTTGTGAAGTCATCCAGCTTTAGGAGTGAGTAAGATGCTGAATGGGGGGAATGTTCTCTCGCTCTGTGATACATAAAGAGGCACAAACAAACTTGCATCAGAGATGTTGCTATGGATATATGAGCCTCCGCTCCTGTGGTTAATTAGCTGAGTTTCTCAGAGGCCTTGGTCAAAACAAAGGCGCTGATTTGATTATATGTATCCTGGTTACAGCTGCTTGGGCTTCGAAGGGAATATCACGCTAATAAGGCAAAGTTTATGAAGGAGAACAGTTGACTTAACAATTGCATTTACATTTGCTTTGAATTGTAGATTAAACACACAGTAGCATCCTTTCTCTGATGTCATCTCTTTCCTGCTTTGTCCCCCAGGATGTTCCGACCAAGCTGGTGGCCAAAGCTGTGCCTCTCCCCATGGCGGTGAGGGGACACTGGTTCCTGAGCCCACGGACAGAGTACTGTGTTGCTGTCCAAACTGCTGTCCGGCAGCCCGATGGGGACTACCAGGTGTCAGAGTGGAGCCAGGTGGTGGAGTTCTGCACCGGGGGTACGTCTCACAGATATAGTAACACTAATGGTGTAATATATAGAGTATGACAGCACTAACCAGAGTTATACAAGAGAAGGACAAAGAACTGCAGAGCACAAGTTGACAAAAAAAGAAATTCTGTCTCAGCACTTGTTATTCATTAGCATTTCAAAGCGATTCAGGCTTCTGAAATGATTTCTCAACTCGTATCAACTTTGCAGACTACGCCATGGAGCACCTACAGCAGCTTCTCGACAAGGCCAAAGGCTCTGCAGGGAGGCTCCTCAAATTCTCTGTTTTTTATAGAAACCAGCATCCAGACTACTTCGACTGTGTCAGGTCAGTGCTGTATTCCTGTCTGTTTGGTGCAACAGATATAGTTCAGTCATCATCTAAGAAATGGTTTGATGACTGGCAAACACTTTAAATGAGAAGTTAAATGATAAGATTGATACCGCTTTCATTTTTTCGTCTCCCTCCAATCCATCGCTCACCTTCATTTGAACAAATCTCAGAACTTATTGGCCATCGTCCGACATTTCTATGCCTGCGTAAACAATGATAAACTTTTCGGGGTCTCTGATGTGACCAGCAGTAAGCAATAAACAAATTCCTGTCACCATTACCTTTCCAAGTGTTGGTTCCTTTTATGGTTTGACAAGCAACTTTAAACGCGAGAATGGAGTTGGTGTTGAGAAACAACAACTATGTACAGTAGCTGCACTTACATGTAGATATCTATGTAAAGGTGATGCTGGTTTAGCTCACTGGAACAATTGCACATCAGACACGTATGCTATACTCCACAAAGCAATGGCCCCAGGCTCAACTAGCACCATCGCCCACTCACTGCATATCGCCCCTCACTTTCTCATCCCTGTTTCAGACTCTATCTACTGTTCTGTTCTTTCAATTAACCACTCCGCATTAAACACAAATAACCTTTAGAAAATGTTGTATCTTAAACATTAATTAAAGACATAAATCAAAACTAAACAGTTGTTGGATGAAAACAGATCTAGGATTGCTGTACCCCCCATAAGTTTTGGTTCTTTTCCTCTCCACATAAAATGTTCTTTGATGATTGGCTTCTACCCGTCATTCCAAAAGCCAGAATACTTCTAATACAAAATTCAGGTCTTGAAGCGACAGATTCTGCATTTTCTTGTACACAATATGCAAATAGATATTACACTTCAGGTAGCTCACTTCTTAATGAGTTACACAAATAATGTCTAAATAATATTTAGTGGTTTCACAGGGTCTTTTATGCTGCACTCTTCTTATAGTTTGAAACAGGAACTAACTTATTCCAGAAAAGAACTGCACCTAAGAAAAACTTTTTAACACCTCTGATTTTGTAATGATGAAAATTACTTAAAGTATGCTTACAATTAATTATGTTACATTTGGACAGAGCGATGCTAGCTGTTTCAGCTCTCTGTGCTACGCTACTGGTAGCTGCTCAATGTAGCTTCTTTGTTTGGACTACAGAGGAAAAAGTTGCTTCCACTTTGGTATTAAACCCAAATCTTATAGTTCTATTTTAAAAAATATACTGCCATTCTGTTAAATGTAATACGTTTGTTCTGTCTCTTATCTTTTTGAATTATTTCTTAAAACATTTTACTATTCTGTTTAATGTAATACTCTTGTTCTTTCTTCTTATCTTGGATCAGAAAGGAATGTGGAGGCCTGATGCGTCCTGCCCTAAAAGACAGCAGTGGGAGTCATGGTTCTCCTATCAACGGCAAACTGCAGGGAGTTTTCTTCAGCTGCAACACTGAGTTTGACACAGGCCTCCCTCCAAAAGACTCTCCTTATGGTCCCCTGCGCTTCCAGATTCCAGCTGGGAACCTGCTGAACCCCAACATCAGCCTGTACTTTGCAGACTTCTACTGCATGTACACAGCATATCACTACGTGGTGTTAGTGCTGGCCCCTGTTGGCTCGGCAGGAGACACCTTCTGTCGCACCCGCCTCCCTTTGCTGGACTTGGCCTCCAACCCCTTCCTGACATACACTGAACCCCAGGGGCCCGGGGATGAGCCTTTATACTGTCATGCAAGTGATGTCATCTTTGAGGTGCTTTTCACAGAGCCGGTTCACTTGGATCAGGGCAGCGTGGAGCAGATCAGCGGACACCACCAGCTCAAGAGTCTGACGACTGCCGACGCCAAAAAGGACCCGAGCTGCAAAGTGTGCAACATCAGTGTGGGACGCTGAGGGGACATGCTGATGTAGGACGAGATCTGGATGTGTTCAAACCTACTAAACTGAAGGAGACAGTGTTGAAGAGGACAAAACAGTGGAGTCCATCATGTGTAGGTCAGAATACGGTGGAAACGGCACACCTCTAAGGGTGTGTGCATGCTGCTTTCCCTTTCCCTTCCTGCCTCCAGTAGAATAGAGAGTGTTTAAAAGAAGATTTATACAGTGTGTACTGCAGATGTTCATCATGATCACAGCTGGAAATATAGTTTACATCTATCCACTGCATTTCAAAGTAACACAATTAAAGTATATAATAGGCTTTAGACAACTTTATTTGTTGAGAATAATCTATCTTTTTTGTTTTTTTGTTCGTATTTTCTTTTAAACATTCTTTTTAATTCCTGAAAATGTGATTGATTTGAATTTTTGTTGTGCTGAACCAACAGTTTGACTTGTGTCTGATCCACCCTAGATGTGCAAATATTAGAGGAATGTCCCTTTTACAAGTTAATGGTTTGACATACGTATCTAGAGGTGTTACCAAATATCTTTCAATTTCTATCCTCAACTGCTCTCCATATAAAGTCACTGCCAGATGTTCTTTTAAAAAACACTTATGATTGCTAAATGTCTGATATTAATACATTTTTAATACATTCTAGCATTCGCTGTAGTTTCTACAGCTGTCAAACACTGTAATGCTTCTTAAAGCTTGTAAAAAAATATATATATATAGTGATGATTTCTGACAGCAAACCTCTGCTCTCTAAACAGAGCTGAGCTAAGATTAGCTCTCGCTATGGGGCTTGTGTTTGTCCCTGCCTAATAATCTCTGACCTATATGGGAATCCCAGCAATGCCCCCAGTGAAAGGGACCCCTCCCCGGTTGCACAACAGTAATGCAGGCAGCGAAGAGAGGCCAAAATGTACATGACAAGTGTGTGGGTACAAATGTCACCAATTTGAGTCTGAATGTTAAAGAAAGCTGGACACATTAGACAGTTTTAAAAACATTTTATACAAACAGGAAGTACCAATTCAGAGTGAAAACAACAAAAAATACATAGATGAATTTAACTTAATCTGTACCCAGGACTGATGTGTTCTTTATGACAAAACACTTCAATCTGAGTTATGCCCTTTCATATAGATTTGTGCCGCGACAGAGATGGGAGCTCACGCACACAGCAATGCTATAATTCTGTCCGTTGTTGTTGTCCCAAAAAGGCTCGCTCTGCCCTCCTGGAAAATACCTTAAGCAGAACTCTATCTTCCTTTTAGCATCCAGCACTTTAGGAATGGTAATATGAAATTCGAAGATGTCTGTCTGAGGTCCTCCAAAGCGTTTCTGTAGATAAGAGCAGGGCACATCTCTGTAACTCTGCCAGGAGTCGAAGGTGATACGAACACTGACGTCCTTCTGGAAGCTGATGTTCCTGACTCTGACGGTTCCTTGTATGGCTTGTTCAGTCACACTGCAGTTCTCCAGGATTATCATGCACTCTGCCAGCTTGGCTCGAAAGGCCTGAAAATCTGCCGAGGGCTGCGGGAAGCCCAGCTTGAGGCGTGTTCCTGGGCAGCAGGTGCTGACAGTGCAGCTGTAGCCATCCTCTGTCATGCTTCCCAAATCCTGCAGCGATGGCAGGAGGTTGAGGTCAGCGTGCGCCTCTTCATCAGAAAACTCCCGTACGGCTGTGAGGGACAATCCCTGCGAGTCAGCGAAAACCACGCGTTTGTTCTTGATTGGGAGAAAAACATCATCATCATCCAAGTCGTCCAGAAAAGGTGGGAGAAGGTGGGTCAGTAAGGCCTGGTTAAAAATGTCAGAGGATAACTGATCTGAAACTGGAGTACGGATGCAGGGGCGCTGAGGCTTCAGGATGGGAACCCAGACATGAGGACACAGTTGTTTACGTTGGTTCAAGCACAGCCTGACTGCAAGCTCAACGAGTCCAGCCGACTGAGCCACTGACCTGAGGTCAACCACTGGCAGGACACTAGGCAAAACACACAGTGATTTTAATACAGACTGATGCCCTAAAAGTGTGCTTAAATGTTTGTATAGACTGTACTTGTGATAATGTGGGGATGTAAGGGGCATTTATGAAAGCATGGCAAAATTGAAGCAACATTGTTCTAAAAATTTGCAATATATTTGACCCACAATTATCCTGATAGTAATTAATATGCTTACGTTGCACTGGTCATTGGCATATTGGTAAAGTGGTGTGGAGAGTTGGAAATGTTGTCCTCAATGTGCACTCTAGAAAGTAAAAAAAGATTAATGCAATGTTGCAATTGAGCTAAAAAAAAGTCTTCAAGGAGTCTAAAATTAAACTTACACACTTCCATGAGCAGCAAGTTGTCGTTAGTAGTCTCAGTCATCCCTTTGCTCGCAGCAGAATGTGGCCCTGGATCCTATTTATACTACCTCAGTTTGATGTCATGTTGTAAACTCCTCCCCTCTTCTCTGTGGACCAATCAGCTCAGTTTTGGGGGTTTTGTGCTCCTCGTGTTGTTTTAGAGGTTTCTTTATATGTATTTTACGACTTAATATACATCATTTTTCATTTCTCTGTCAAGACAAAACACGTTATTCCAGAAGTTTGTTACCTGTGAAGATTTATGTGAAAGTATGTCTTTGTGCTGTCAAGATAAGGAACAGTTAGCTCTACGTCATGAAGCCCTGCTCTGCATTGTGGAAACTATTCCAGCCATCCCAGACTCTATTCTCAGACCTGGCTAGTTCCTGTGCAGAAGGGACCTCTGCCAGTCCATCAGTACGTGTGACACTGAGGAGGGCAACAACTCTCAGCATAATAGTCACCTATCTGAGGAAGTGGATCAGAGTTCAAAGCACGTACTTACCGATTTGAGTGACATAAAGCAGGAGTAACACGTGTGAGCCCCACACTCACTGAAATGCTTTTGAAAACAACACTATTGGACACATTTGATCCCCGAAGTCCTCAGAGTATAAGGGATCAAAATTGACCTCACATGAATTCATATTGGATGGTAAAAAAACCAGAAAGCTTATTGGGATGAAACCCGTGTTTGACGCTGCATTGAATAAAATAAAATGCATTGACATTGTCATTGTTTTGTGAAAGTTTTCATTTTGCCAAAATGAGCATTATCAAGGTCTGAGAGCCTTGAATTTTTTGTGATATGACAAACATCACTCTTACTCTGAATGCCTTTCTACATTGTGTTTTTCCCTGTATGGATCATCTCAATAGTCTTCTTTTATTCCTCATCCTGGTCCTGTATTAGTCAGATCAGCAGTGTAGTTAAGGAAGTCGACAATCAGTTGAACAAATCATTAAACACCTTCTCTCCCTTATTAGTTCCAATTACTGAGCCGTTTGTCTGAGAGCAACACAATAAGCACTGATTGCCTCTTCACCTCTTACATGAGAATGCCATTACAAAAATCAAGTCAAATGAAAACAATGTTCTGCGTATCATTTAAAGGTCAAACTGAAAACACACAAAATAAATCTCACTTTCTGATATTCAAGGTTAAGGGAAGCAGAAAAAGTGACCTAGCAGAATTTATCATGAGCAAAATGGATTTTAATATAAGCATTCATCTTACTTTAGCATGTTGAGCAAAAATAATACCTCTTGGCAAGCTTATGATGCCAAGTGAGCTGATGAAATTTCCCCTCCAGGTCATTTGAAGTGTCTCGTTACCGAGCAGCAGAGAGGAAAAAAAAAGTCCAAAAAATGTGAGTCATGTGGATAAAGTAACAGAATGAACCATAAATTAGCAAATTACTTTGACTTGTATTTGCCAGTCACACTGACATGAGCACACCAGAATACATTATTATTACATAACCAAACTTGTGTTGGTGATTAAAAAGATCCAAAAATAACACCAGAGCGCTGCAAAAGCTGGTGCGGTTGACAGAATTCATTCCTCAGCGAGCCCTTCTCACAGTACCAGCCAGGACTCAGAAGACATGGTGTAACAAATGTTTGTGTTTACGTCCCACAAATGAGTCTTTAATCTTGACACCAGTATAAACGATGGGTGCATGTCCAGATGCATTCTCTGCAAAGTGATTCTCCTCATTGCTGCCATGTTACAAAAACGAGGTCATTGCTCCTTTATGTCCTCCAGGAGCCAAAAAAACACCCGCACAAACAGACCTGTAACATAAGAACGACTGTGCTTTAACTACATTTAATTTCTGCTTTATTATAAATATATCCTAAATTCTTAAAAGAGACACTTTAACTCCATAATGTGCAGACATGAGACAATGAGGAAAAAAAAAAAAGAAGGGGAGGGGGGCTTAAAAATAAATCCAGATGTCACTACAAAGCAGTTTGTTATGTAAGATCTGCAGAAATGAATTAGCAGATGTCTGTATAGGAGGGTTGTGAGAGCAGGGCTGAGGTAATGAGAGAGACGACATCGTCAAACTTATTGCAGTTTACCTCAACGTTCAAATTAACTGCACAGCTCCACTTGAGACAAGAGGAGCTATGGTACGAAACCGCATCAGATGTTGAGATCCCTCGTCCATATCCACAACATACTCTCTGATAGAGGAGGTAAGAGCACAGATAATAAGACCAGTTTATTCAGTATCCATGCAGAAAAATAAAACAGTACTGAAAGGGGAAATGTAAGTCTTGATCAAATGTACCTCTGATCATCTGTTTCCGGCTCCACCAGGATGTTCTCCTGTCTCTCCTTCACCCGCAGAAACACAAATGAGTCCAGACAGGGCTCAGGCACTAGGATTGCATTAGAATACATGAGATTTACTAGCGTGACAGTCAGAGAAAATGTCAGAGCAAATGCCACCATCTGTCAGCGCATGCTAATAGCAATATTTCTGGCATGGGTCACTGAAGACTAAAAAAATGTAATTGAGAGTTTGTGAAGTCAAACTTTAGAGGAAACAGAAGAGCTTTCACCTGCTTTGAGCATGTCAACTGTCTGCAGGTTAGGGGGCATGCGCTTCAGTGCTACAGCCTTCAGGTAGGTTTCTGTGTTGGCATAGTACCTGTATGGCAGACACACATTTGTTAGTTTTCGTATCCCAAGAGTCTTAAAAACAGAATTACAGCTCTGACCACACTTCTCGATTCTTACTCTTTGGCAAAGGCAAACTCCTCAGGCGAGAGCAGTGACGGATCTCCCTCACCTCGAGACTTTTCCCGCTCCAGGACATGTGGGAAAAACTTCTCAATCTACATATAAACAAAAGGCACAGAGTTCACACGTGTTTGGTCGACAGCCACCAAGTCAGACAAGAGAATTTATTTGTTGACATGTTGACGTGACCGACCTTTTGCAGACGACAGCGCAGGTAACTGCTGAGGACAAAGCGTATTCTGTCTATTTCCATACGATGGATGCTGGCCTTTGTGTCACCTTTCTTAACCCGCTGCAGGTTGGCTTCCTGTGGGGTGAGAGGTCAGGACACCGTCACAAAATAACATTTCATTTAACAAGTGTGATTTAGAAAAAAAACGAAATATTTGTACTATGTGAGAATATGATTGTGATACCAGAATCCTTCCACTGTACACTGATAAAAGGTTCAGATTTTTTGAATGAGCACAGCAAACCAACATGAGCGGAAATATTTCCATGCACGTTCATACCTTTTAAATCACATCACCTACTAAGGGCCCTTAACCCTTTGTAGGGCTTGAAATTCATTAAAGAGAATATAATATCAAGCGATCAGGTATCCTAATATTCAATTGTATTTCAGCCTTACGTGTATATTATTTTATAAAGGTGGCTTGATTAAAAAAAACATTACCAAACAATGAGACGATTCAAAATCAACCATTTAAAACACTGATTTCTTATTTAGGAATGAATTATCAAGCACATAAAAAAAAAATCTAATTCATCTTGTGTTATATTTGGAAAAGTGAACATCTTACAGAAATGATTTAATTTTGAAGTAGTACTGTATATTGAGCTCAATTGTGGTAGGCTTATATGAACATTTTCTTACGATTAATAGAATTGATAGTTTAACTGAGGTCAGGTGTAACTAAGAACATTTTTGTCAGAGATGTATTTGGGTAAAAGTTTTGGGGCACCTTAAGTATTTCAATGATATGCAACCTTTTACCATCCATCCCAGTAAATTCCACACTGCAACACTTTGCAATAAAACATTTCAGTAGCCATAATGCCATTTTGAAGTATTGTCTTTATACCGTAAATATAATAAATTACCTGATTATCAACTCGACCAGAAGCTTTAATATCTTGAATTAGTTACCTGGTACTAAATAACCCTGCACAAAGCATGTGCTGTTCGTGACAAAATCATCAAACCATTAAAAACAACCAGCAGAGCAGAAGTATCCTCAATGTAATAATAATGTACCATGTGGGTGAGTTGCTCCATCACACACTCCACCACCTCTGACTTGTTCTCCAGCAGCTCAGGTGAGAACTTCTCATTCAGCCAAGCCTGCCAGAAACAGAGAGGAACATCACTGTGAGGAGACTGTTATGATGACATGACATGTAGTCAAAACAAGGTAAGCTTCAGGAGGTCTAAAGGGTCACTAGAGTTCAGACGTGCTCACTTCTTCCAGTTTGGAGATCAGCTCCGCCGGGGTCATAACATCCTCCTGGCTGTCATCGTGGTTGATGTCGCTCCCGTCATCAGACAAAACGTCCGACATGGTTATCCTTTACAAGAAACACTGACAGAACACTCAGTTTGACTGTACTGCAAACTCTTAAACTATATTTTTGAGCGATTCACGCTGAGGACGTTTCAAAAGTTACAGACAAAGTAACAAGCGACACAGCAGCGTCCATTCACACGAGAAAACTCCTTGTTTATTCGCGCCACTTGCATAATTATCGCGAGATCTTGAGGGGTGAGCACGCGTCTTCTGTCCTCTGTTAAGCCTGCAAGGCAATTTTCCTTTTAATTTAAGAAAGATGTTTCATCGATTAACGGGCTTTATAATAAAATTATTTAAGACAGTAAACAATGAGGCTGTTTTTCGTTGGTTCATGGTTGGAGTAAGCTTCTAAATCTAAATCTAAGAGACGGAATTTCGATACTGCATATGAGCATTGCCTCCTGAAAGACTAAACTCAGGTGAAATATTTTGTAACCAAGACGCGTTATGAAGTTTGGATTTTTACTGAATTTCAGAAACACGTCTTTTTTACAGTCTATGGTCAGAACTCATGGCTTCAGGGGAGATTGAAGACGGTATAACAGTTTCCTTTTTAGTATGTTACTTTTTGGGAAACGCTGTGATTTCCTTACTCGATAGACAAAGGCTGGACGAAGCCTAAGTGACGTCATCCATCTGGAACACTAGGGGGAGTATGGAGGACGAGATCTGACTGAAGTATAAATAAATAAAATAATCAATAAATAATTAAATAATTAAATGCGTGAATAAATAAATAAAAACTGGTAAATAAATGGGACATAAATAATTAAATGTCTTGAATGTATTTCTACATTGCCACATTTACTTATTTCTACATTTATGTATTTCCACATTTATTCATTTCTACATTTATGTATTTCCATATTTATTTATTTATACATTTATTTATTTCCACATTTACTCATTTCTACATTTATGTATTTCCACATTTATTCATTTCTACATTTATTTATTTCCACATTTACTCATTTCTACATTTATGTATTTCCACATTTATTCATTTCTACATTTATGTATTTCCATATTTATTTATTTCTACATTTATTTATTTCCACATTTACCCATTTCTACATTTCTTTCTTTCTACATTTATGTGTCCGTATGCTAATGAGGTAGGAGGGACTAATGTCAGTCTCATTCAGGATTGGTCAACTGAGCGATCCAGTCAGATCTATTCCTAGCGAGACTTCCTGTTGACATTAAGCAGACTAGCATGGCTTCAACCGGGAGACTGCTGGCAGACCTGTAGCTTCACATTGCATGTAAATGTACATGGAATGATCGTGATCTAAAAACGCTGAGTATGTTTTTCTTCTTTTCTTTACTCCTTGACTTTAAACCAATCAGGGAGATGAGCCAGCCGTACTTGATTTCTACTTTATTTATTGTGAAATGTCGCACATTCTTCCTTGAAAGGAAAAAGCCAACGTCTTGATACCAACTGAAAGTGAGGAAAGACTACCCTAACCAACCAAGTAATTTCAATAATATTCATGGAGGTGTGTAAAAATTAAGAAAGGTAATTGCTTAAAATAGCATTGTCAGCAATGTGCCAAAGCCTTTTACCCAAACTATTAGGTCTTGGTCAATATATTCACATCAACAATCAGTTGACCTCTTGGAATTGATGCAATGACATATAGGCTACATACCTGTAGAAAATATTCTTACAATTAATTTTCCTCCATTGGATATTTTTTAAAAGCTAAGATCTACGTTTTCATCGTGATTTGACAATTTAATTTATTTATTTTCTGAATACATGCAAATGACAATGAGAACATAATACAATATCTTTAAAAATATTTAGTATACACAATTCATTATTCATACAGAACCATTATGCTTAATAGACTTTACAACACAGTACTGTTAGAGGGTTCTCTGCTTTAAATACCAGGGATCTAATTTGTGTGCTTACTGTGTACGAGCTGTGATTTTAATGTAACTTGTTGTTTTTTAATCCATCTATTGTGAATTTCTCATAACAAATCTTAACATGTATTAGTTTTGTACTGTCCTGTACTGCTTTGTCCACAGGGGTCGCCAAAATCATTACAAACATAAAGTTTCTCACAATAGCTTTAAAAACAACTAGATAAAACATAGTCCTCAACATGCTCAGGAACACGCTGTGTAACTCACAGTGTATACTGTTGTTGTTTTGGATTTGAAGGAACAGGCAATGTGGTTCAACACATTACTGTTACCATATTTTGTTACAATTATTATTTCTTCTTTTCCATTTTTACCTTTGCATGAAACCTGTGTGTAAACAAATGTTCATTGATTTGAAAGTAGTTGAGCGACTGACTTTTATTTTTGAAGAGTGAAGTGGTGTTGGGAGGGTCTGGAACTATGGAGGCGGGGGGGCTTAGTGGTATGTTGTTTTGTTTTATGGAGAAATGTAATGTTGTATTTTCATTCATCTGTTCAGTGTTACTTATAAATATTTAAAAAACAACAACAGAAACTATATAAAATAATTCATAGAAAAAGAAAAACAATATTTGATTGATTTACTTGTGTGTAGAAAAATCTCTTGCAGCTGTGTTTGTAACTCTGTGCAGTGCAGTTTGTATTCGGTTGCAGAACTTGAACAAATTCCATCAGAAATTACAGTTAGTGATTTCCTGCTGACCCAGAGCTGTGCATTAAGCCCCAGACCCTTAATAGTAACACGTTGCATACATGTTTGAAATGCAAATAAGGCTTCACCAAAATAACTAAGTGAAATTGTAAATGAGGCAAACACGCTCCAACGCTGCCTCCTTCAAAGTAAAAATATACTTTTTTCAAGTGATAACTTTAGAGGTCAGGAGTTGAAATTTAAAAGAATCACATTTTGTGATGATAAATTTGGCCCATGGCCGGCAGGGTATATCCTAAATGGGGATTCAAGAGAGGGACTGAGGGGTAGTAAGGGTAAACAGCAGACCCAATGAGAGCAGGGCTCATTGGGACATGGCGATACAAAAACTGAGATTGAGGTAGTCTCATTCTGGTGGGCAACAAGGCTGGGTGTAAAGGAGATTGGTGCCGAGAGTCTCGCCCAGATTTCTCAAAGCTCGATAGGACACGTGACATCGGCATACTGGTGGAAGAAGCAGACGCACTCTGCTGAGTGGAGGGAACTTTTTGTAACATTGTCCTGGATTTTTCCCTCTTCTCTGTTTGATAAGTCCAAGGAGCTATGTTGTTCTGCTTCCTGGCAGAAGTCAGAGAGTCCGCCTGCTGCATCACCCTGCCCTGGTGGAGTTTATAACCTGGATGAATAGGAGCAGGCCGCAGGAGCTGCACGGATTTTGGAATTACTTTGGTAAAACTAGAGTTAGATGTTGGCCAGTCAGATATCACACCATAAGAGGAGGGGGGGTGGCTGATATATTTGTTGCTCCCTTTATGGATTGGTCTCCAGGCTGAGTCTTTAATCTCGATTTTAACAGGGTCTACAGATTGAGGGCTGGCACAATCTTTATTCTGTCTGGCTGTGTCTTTGGATATCGGAGTACAGCTAAAAGTCTTGCTGTCCTCACCACCACTGGGTGGATTTTTCACAGAGCTGGAACATTTTTGGGGCAGTTCAGAGGAAGATGCAGGTTTATCTTCACTCCCCACATGACCGTCCTCTGATGAAACAGAATAAGGGGAGGGGCTGCGGGAAGAGGATGAGGACAAAGGCAGCGGGGAGCCATCAGAGGAGTTGTGGCTGGAAGAAGCCCGGGATGGAGAGCCTGAGCAGTGAATGACGGAGGGCCTTTCCTTGTCCTCGCTCTGAGGACTCAGGGGCACGTTAAGACTAGCCTGAGCCATTCGCTTCTTTTTCTCCAGAGGGGAGATGACCTCCCCAGCAGTGGATGGGACACGAGCAGACCAGAGGCAGGATGTGGGGACCGGGACAAGGCGAGTGTAGACGGTGGTACAACGATTGGGGGTTGATCTGTTTGGCTGAGAGCTGTCCGGATGGTGTTGATCTGAGGTCCAGAGAGCCCGGTGAGGATGCATCACTGCTTCACTTTGACAGGCAGCTTCTGGACTTCTCTGAGCCACTACCTATAAAATAACACAGGGGATATTTAACACAAATAGTACACTTATACCTAGCTTTTCTGAGACATGTTCACAGATATTATGTTACCTCAGAATCCATCTGGTTATCCAGCTGACACCTTTTCCTCTTCCTCTCGGCCTTGTGGACTTGGCCGTCTGAACTTCTCTTGTATGGCTTCCGTGGTTTGCTGGGAGGCAAGGGTTTATCCTCCTCTCCTTTCATGTGTCTTTCAAAGGGCAGCACTAGCCTGAAGAAAAAAGAAATTTCTTGTCATAAATCTGTTTTTCAGAGAGTGAATTGACAGGTTAGGAAAAGAATCATCCTCACTTTTCATAATGTCTGCGTGTGCAGGTTGCAGCACTGGTGCTGCCTGGACTTCCTCCCAGCTCATCGTACACTTTCTTCCAAAGACGTCTAGCAGTCACCTGTTGGGAAACACAGTGTTTCAAATGTACATTTGTATCTGCACTTTGGTCATTGTTGCTTTGGGTCATCAGGTCATCAAATACAGGAACACTACCTTTTTAAGTCTCTTAAAGACAATTTCAAGCATCTTAATTCATACATTCTAATATGTGGTTAACATGAAATGTTCTATTTGTATTGATGACCTTACTATATCATCAGACATTAAGGACACATGCTATGTTGAAGTAATGGCTTCTCTGACAACAATGCAGCAGCCAGTGCGTCCTCCTTCTAAGCTTTAATTCTGATCTGGAATGGTCTGTGTTTGTTTTAGCCAGAGATGGTAAGCAGTTTCAAGGCACCCCCACATGGACTTTGTGACGCCCATGTGGGGGTGCCTTGCCTCAGTTTGCCAGGCAAATGGCAAACCAGTAGGTGTTGGAGTGATGGAAGCGGGCAAGAGAACTGGTTCAGATATAACTGATTCTACCCGACCTAAAAAGCCTCTGGATTTTCTAATAAGCTCCATGACCAGGAATACGGTAAAAGGATAAATATTGGAGATACTTTTTGAGAGGTTAGAACGCTGAGCGGTTTCGAGACTGACGCAGAGCTGTTTTAACACGGAAGCACCCATGTGTGCATCGACTCCAGGGAGGAGGGTCAGATAAGACCGCTCTCTCCAATGTCTT